TGATACTTCATTTCATTAATTCAAATTAATGGATAATTTTAAAACATTATATACGTTGATTTGAATTGATGAGAAAGAATATCAGATAATTTTTAATTTTTTTTATAAATTTTTAAACTTGATTTATGTATTAAAAATTTTCAATTTAATAATTAGATTGTTAAAATTTAATATATAATGAAACATTTAATAAAATAAATTTAAGTAAGTTTCCAAAGTAAAGTCATCCTATGTTATTAAATAAGTTAAGACATTGTCTTAAAATTCAATCATTTGATTGTAGTTAAAATGTGATCAAACTAATATTAATAAAATAATAATAATAATAATAATAATAATAATAATAATAATAATAATAATAAGTTAATACAGTAACTTTATGTACATTAATATATAAAAATATATTTTGTTCACTAATCTAAGTTGATGCGAGTAATAAGGGGCATTATTTAGCTAAGTAATTATACTTAATATTAATTTTTATGAGTGTATAAAATTCAAGTTGAGAGAGTATGTCTTTCTATTTAGTATTTGTCAAACTTTTATGTAACTACTTTTGATCTCTACATTTGTCGAACCTTTACATCCTTAATGGTATGTTTTTGGATGAGAAATTTTCCAAATTCAAGAAATTTTAAATTATTAATATTTGAATTATTTTGATTTCAATTTCTATCATTCTTAAAATATTTTATTTTGATAAATCAATTCAAATTTCTTAATTTTTAAATTGTTAGGTTGGATATGATAATTTGATTCCACCATGGTAAAATTGATTTTAAAAATATATTTATATGTTGATATTTTTAAATTAAATTCTATAAAAATAAATATTAGCTAACTTTTAAATATTTAATAATTTTAAAAATTAATATTAGATAATAATTAATAATTTTAAAAAAATTTAATATTCAATAATTAAAAACATGAATAGATAAGAGATAAGATAAAATATATAAATAAAACAAGAAAAAAATATGATGAATTTCAAATTCTTTTTTTGGAAGAATTTGAAATTTTACTATTTCAAAGAGTTCTACAAATGCTTAAATTTTAAATTATTTATAAATTTTCCACCCAAATTAACAAGGTATTTCCCCTCAAAGAATTTGAAATTCTTCAAACAAATGAATTATTCCATTTAAATTCTTTGTCCAAACATAAGTTATTAAAAAAATATAAAATCAATATTTTTTTTATAATAAAACTACCGTCTTGCTTCACATAAAATCAAGAAATAAAGAGTCTTTACACCTTTTTTTCCAATAAATTATAAGTTAAATTTAACTTTTTTATCTTATTATAATATTCAATTTGCAATTTTGATTCTTTAATTTTTTAATTTTAGTTTAACTATTTTATAAAACTTACAATTTTTGTCTCATAACAAATCATAACGTTATCCACTTATCTCAAGTAAATAATACAAAAAAAATTAATATTATATAATATTTATATTAAATTGCACTTTTATTTAAGAAAATATATGAAATTTATTTATCTTTTATAATTTTTATGAGATAAAATTGTAACACTTTCATCTTATAATCATGTTGTTTGATTTGACAATTGTTGCTGAGAGCTCTAAGACTAGGAGTCCCTGAGGACACGTTGATTTCTTGAGGATTAGATTAGAGATAAGTAAAGTCGGTTCAAAAAAGGTATAAAAGAAAATGCAAATTTTCTAAAAAGACATTGAAAGAAGCTAAAAAGAAGGATCCTCTTTCTTCCTTTTTTTTCCCTCTTCCTCACCTCAAACCTTTCCTTTTTCTTCCTTTCTTAGCTAATTTAAGTTATAGTTGAGAAGAGTTTTTGGGTTGGAACTTCCAGCTTGTGATGTTTAAAGTCGCTTCTTCTCCTTTTCTTCTTTACAGATTTTTCTCCAACAAGTAAGGCAAGCTGTGATTTTAAATTTTTGGGTATACATTTTGTGGTTTTAATGATTGAAATGAGTTGGTTGAAGGTGTTGAGTGATTTAAAAGATGAAGTTGAGAGAGTTTCATGGTTTCCAAGAAAGGTATGATAAATTGAGTTGATTCTTGTTTGGATGCTTGTTGCATGTTGTTTTAAATGATGAAACTGAGTTGTATAAAATGTATAAATGTTATATGTTGTAGTGCATGTTTATGGGTTGCTAATTTTTCTGGTGTTTTGGATTGAAATCAGTTTCTACATAAGTGCAGGAATTGACATCGCGTCGGTCGTGCCTTCAAGGCATCGAGTGTGATTCCAAAAAGAGGTCTTTGTCTCACTCACATTGGGCGCATGATTGGTGTCGTCAAGCATAAGGAGATAGACTCATCTTAGGTTGGAATTACATTAGGCTTGGATTGAATGCATCGAGCGTGAGATGAAAGGATGGTATTTGTCTAGGATCACGCCAGGCACTAGTGGAGTGACACTGGACGTGAGTTAAGCAAATAACTCTCTACCTAATTAGGGTTAGGTGTGGTCATTGCCACGCCAAGCACGAGATTGAGGGGCACTCTCTACCTTAATCATGTCGAGCGCGAGTGGTGAGACACCAAACATGGGCGAGACAGGGAGCTTCCTACCTCAATCGCATCAAGCGCGAATTGTATGATGAAAGGTGATTATTTAATGTTGTTTACAAGTTGATTGATGGTGAATGAGTGGTATGTTGTAGAGTCGATGGCTTGAGTTGATTGCTAGTTGATTTATAGTGACGTAGTCGTATGAATGATGATGTAAAATGATGTATTTGTGGGTATGTGGTAGGTTGAATATGTTGTAAAGATGCAAGTTGTTTTAGTTGCTTAAGATAATTTTTTATGTTTAATCAAAGTTGTCAATGTTGCAAAGATATTTGTTTTTTACGTTGTTTAAGTTAACATGTTGTGAAGTTGAAAGTTAAACATTGTGCATGTAGTATGTTGTTAAAATTGATAACTTGAATGTTGAAAGATGATAAAATTGTTAAGTTGATAAGCTATGGATATGTGGATTAGATACATGTCTTAGCTACAATATATAAAAATTAGAGGAGGGTTAAATATGTTTTCAAACTTAATATCACATTATGCGGATATACATTGCAGTACTCCGAAAGCTCGGTTAAAACCCTTTAGCAAGTAAGTTAGCCTCTGGATAGATAATTTGAAATTCAATTGTCTCCTTTAGATTTTATATGGTACCCGTGTGTGGATAAGATCGAGATACACGTGTATAAAGTAATTAATCAAGTAAAATATTGGGTGGACTTAGTCTCTAACCTAGTATCAGAAGGTTGTGGTATTAGAAGGATAGTTGGTGGGTTAACCCCATAGGTGACTTAATGTTGTAGACTAATATTGTGGTAGACTTATATCCAAATTATTCTATCTTAACATAGTATCATATTTCCTTGTTTAACTGACAAAACCTGATAAATCAATCTAATTTATACTAGCCATTTTTAGCCTTGTGCTAGCCATTGTTTTTAGTCTCAATGTCAACCGTTGTTTCTAGTATTATACTAGCAATTGTGATTTAATAGGATTAAACCATTTAAATTACTCACCCTAAGATGTAGGAGGTCTCCATAATTAACATGTGCGACAACGTATTAGATGTGATGTATATATTGTTGTGCTATACATGCTAAAAGATGTCAAGTTGTTGCATTAAAATTGTTGTTCTGTTATGAGTTGAAATATTTTTGCTATGATAACCTGTTTATAAGTTGCTAGTTTGAATTTTTTTCACTAGCTTACCTTGTATTTTTCTTATGGTTGAAACTACGATGATCATACTTGGTATGAGAGGAAAACTGATTTAGTAGGATGGTTAGCACAGTTGGAGGATAATCACTTTGGAGATGGCTAGTTTTGGTTGTTGGCTACCCCTATGTAATTGGATTTTTGTATAGACGCCGATTGATATTTAAGGTTTATTTTACTTTTAGTACTATATTTTATACTTGGCTTCTTTGTATAGGATATTAGCCACCGACTATATTATAAAGCCTTATTTTGATGCATGTTATTTAATCTTTCACTATGCAATAATTGTTCAGTAGTACGTGTGATGACCTATTGAGTCTTTACAAAAATAGAAGTTAAAATTATAATTTAACTTGAATACTATATAGAAATTATCATTAATGACATATTATGATAAACTTAATATTTTTAAAATAAATTAAAATTATATATTTTTAAAGTTGGATACAATTCTCTAGATACCGTTGATGTTGTTTTCCAATAATAGTTGACATTTTACTTTGATATTATGCACTTGTTTGTAAGTTTTATTAATATAAATTAGTATTTTAGGATGTGCATTGCACATGCTAAATATTTATTATATGTAATTAAAATTTATAATAAATTTTATATACAAATAAATATTATGTTTAAATATATAACTTACACTTAAAATTCATATAAATAGATATTTTTAAACATATAAATGATATTTTAAAAATTTGATGATAAATAATTTATATTGTAACATAATTTTATTTTTATTTATTGTTAATTTATTTTAAAAATATTAAAATTTAATTTATAAATAATTATAATAAATAAAATTGAATTAGATAAAAAATTATAAAATACCTAAATAACCTCTCGTTAAAGAAAAAATCCTTAAAAGTATTATTACGCAAGATAGAGATTTATATTTAATATATAATTAAAATTAAAATTAAAGTCATAAATAATTATAATAAATAAAATCAAAATAGGTTAAAAGTTAAAAAAAAATTTAAAAACTTTCTCATCAAAGAAAAATTCCAAAAAATATCTAAGATAAATTTTCATATTTAATATATAAATATTAATTTATGTATATTATCAAATAAATTTTAACTCTAATTAAATAATAACATCGTCTTTACATATAAAAAAAAAAAATCATAGTTAATGTCTGTCGATTATAAAATTAAAAATTAAAATTATGAATTTAAAAATCAAAATATCAAAATTATGGAAAATAAAAAATTGTTTGGCTACACGTGTCGGGAACAAGGTGCGGGTCTACGATCCTAAACTACACCGAAGAGAACATGCTGCATTTCCCTCCGATCGTTTTTCTGAGGCCGAAAAAGCAAACTAACTCTGATACTGCTATGTTTCACTCTGTCGGAAGACGAAAGAGTGCCCAACAGATTAGGGTTTCAACGTTGAATAGCCCCTTTTCCCACCCCAAATAGAAGCTTTGGTGTAGATGAGTTGGTCTCAACAATGGGTTCCGATTCCAATTTGGGAGGGTCACCCTCAGCATCATCGCCCAGTGCCAAGCGCACCAGAGATCCCGAAGAGGAAGTTTACCTCGACAATCTTCGCTCTCACAAGCGTTACCTAAGCGAGGTTACACACATCATTATCTAATTTGCCCCCTTTTTTGTCGTTTTATTATTACTATCTTTATTTTAATGTTGTAACTATAACCTACTTGTTGATTGTTTTTTCTGTTTGTTTACTAAGTTGGTATTTTTGTGAAATGGCCTGTCATGGGATTTCCATATTTTGGCGTTTCTATTTTTTTTTTCTTTTCTATTTCGTAAACTAATACATGTTTGTGAATCTCTATATTAATTTATGAATAATTGCCCTATTTTAAGTTGTATGTTGTTTAAATTTGAGAGACTTGGCTTAAGCGCCATTTGGAAAATTATGCATTACTCGTTTGCATAACTGAGCTGAAACACATTTTCAAAAGGTGCATTTTGTTGTGCTTGCTTTGTTCATATGGATCCTTGCTGTGTGATGTTTAATTTATCTTTCTATGTATGCTTTTGTTGCTATCAAATGAAATGAACTACAACTAATTAGAGTAACTTAATCTATTGTTTCCCTGCCCAGATAATGGCATCCAGTCTCAACGGATTGACAGTTGGAGACTCACTTCCTGATAATCTCATGGAATCTCCAGCAAGGTCTGAAGGCATGTTCTCTTTCAGGTAAAATCATGGCCACTTTTCTTGTGCAAGCATTATTCACACTTTGGGAGTTTATAAACAGCTATTTCCGTGGATGAAGTTTATTTAGTTGCATTTCAGTCTTAACTATTGGATTTTAAATAGAACTAGTGTATGTAGTGTATTAGCAGGCTTCTAAAAGTTCATGGAATGAGTTATTGCCAGTTGCATTATTACATTTAGTATACGTGTTTTAGTTTGGCAGTGTAGATTGGCCTTTGACATCTTGTGTAAATTGTACTCTTTTCATCTTCCTTATTATATCGTGATTATTCATTTCTTTCATTCATGTGAGTTGGGTTAAATTTCTTAAAATCGTTATCTTAGCCATTGAAAGATACGGTAGATAGTTCTGTTGGTAGCTCTAGTTGCAGCTGCAGAGTCTGAAAACTATTCTCACCTCTACTGATGCGTGACATTGTGCTTTATTATTGTTGGTGGGGTGGTGGTGGTCAATCAACTGGTTTTTATGTGCATAAGTGTTGAAAATGATGATGATCCCATTGCTATTCCAGAATAAAATGGGATTACTAAAATTTTCCTCATGGTTTTCTGGGCAAAGAAACTCCGAAACTGAAATAAGTAGAAGGCCTTTATTTGTTTCATACTCGATGGTTAAATGTACTCTGACTCATACAATCATCGTTTTCCCTCTTGCAAACCTAATATATATGTCCTAGACTGAATTATAGTGAAAGTTAGAGTGGGAGACATTACAAGTCTCCCACCATAGGGAAGTGTTTTCAAACCATTAAATTAGTTTTTTCTTAAATGTATAGTTGACAATTTTCGTTCCCCCCCCTCACTTTCCCTTGTTACTCTCTTTCTTTTTGGTCTTTCGTGTACTACTCTCTGGTTTCCTTATCTTTGAAGTCTTTATGCAATGCAACCCATATCATCATTCTCCCTTTGGATCCTTGAAACACATGAACACCTCTCTCAAACGGTGACCATTCACCAGATCCACCAACTACCTACCACACTGATTTCCCTCCAAAAAGCGAAAAACCAACACACCATTCAAACCACTACCTCCAAAAATAAAAATAATTAAGGGGGTTAATGTATTGTCCAAGGAGTCACAGTGTGATTCTTTTTAAAAAATTAAGGGAGTTAATTAATGTATTGTCCAAAGAGTATGAGAGTGTTTGGTACACGGAAAGTTTTTACTTCCCTGAGAATTTGACATTAGTAATGTTAATTTTTCGTGTTTGATTTGTTATTTAAAAAATAACATTCCTAAGAAACATTATTTCTTGGGAATGATTTTTGGATAAGTTTCCCACAAGATTATCCTCATGGGAAAGGTGGAGAACTAGCTTTCTCAAGGTAAAAATAATGTTTTAATATAGATAAAATGTCGTGTTACCTTCATTTGTTTATTTAATACAGTAAAAATCATTGATTTCCAAATAACATTTGTAAACATCGTCAAAAACAATTATAATCAACCAAACAAATTTTCTTGATTCCTAAAAATCATGATTTCCGGTATTTATGATTCTCATGCATAAAAAAAATTGTTGTGCAACAAACAACCAAACAAAAACATAATAATGATAGTGTAATATTTTTCAAACAATTAGGGAGGTTGTTGTAAAATTTTTCAAATAATTAAGGAGGTTATTGTAAGTTGTAACTTGTAAGGATAGAAAAATAAGGGGTGTTTGTGTAATTTCACGAAACCTTGGGGAGTGTCAGTGTAATTTACCAAAAAAATATACTAATAATGTTATACATTCATAATTTAACGTAATCAACACGCATGGAATTACATACCATCATTATCAAATGTTCAAAATACTTGTACATTATGATTTGGTAAGGTTAAGGAATGAATCAAATTTTACGAGGGTATAACAAGAAAAGCAATATAAAGTATATTGAATTTGGTTTGGTATCAATATTTTGAACTGAAAATTGAACCCAACCAAAATTAAGAGAGAGAGAGAGAGATTTTGTATGATTTTTTTTTTCTTGTAGTAGTTTGGCAATTTAAAACAGTTCAGTTAGGTTTTAACACCCTTAACACCAACACTGAAATGTGTGCATTTTTTTTGTTAAAATAAGTTAGTTTCTTTTTCCAATGATTAGCAAATGGTTCCAATGTTATTTTTGTTGAATTTATTTTCAGAGATGATATGTCATTACAATATTCACCTATGTCAGAAGATTCGGATGACTTGAGGTTTTGTGAGACCCCTGTACACAGTTGCTCATCCCAGCCTGACAGTCTTCCCAGTAGTCCAGTTTCTCCACACAGATACCAAAAGCCGCAGAATGCTTTATTATCTTCTGCAGCACCTTCCTCAAGTTCAAATGCTTCTCATAGCTCCACCGTCTGCACAGTTAGTTGCCCCCAACCCCATTCCCAACCTCAACCTCAACCTCGTCAGCGAGGGTCAGATTCTGAAGGACGCTTCCCATCATCTCCAAGTGATATATGCCACTCAGCTGACTTGAGAAGAGCCGCACTTCTAAGATCTGTGCAGATGCGAACGCAGTCTCCTGGCTCTGCATCTTTGGACCTGCCATTTGGTTCTAACCAAGAGCATGCTCCCAGCATAGATTCTGAGGAAAGATCATGCTCATGTATGAAATCTCTGGTTGACGGGAGAGAGTATTGAAGAGGGTTCATCAATCGGTATTCGGAAGGTTGATTACTAATATAGAATCGTCAGTATCCATCGTTTCTAAAATATGAGAAGGTAGCTTGTGTTAGTTTCGGCGGAAATGTAACCGTTGGTCTTGTGTTATGGGGTTTTGTTCTCCCGCTTTAGCCCATTGTGCCCAATGGCTTCCGAATTTTACTTATTTCATTTTGATTTAATGTTTCATTTAATTTAGTTGATGATTGTGCTGTGTGCGTTTATGTCTTATAATAATTTATAAGCAAATCAGCCACAAATATCGAGTGTAGATAATCGTCATGTAATACATGCAGCAAGTCACGGGGCAAATTTGCGGTTACTATCAACTAGCGAAAGAAAGAAACATATGATAAAAGGCAAAAGTAGTATAGTCTCACAAAATTTTAAACCGCTCAGGTAGAATACAATGGGGAGAAGAATGGTAATCTTTACCCCCCAAAACGCCATGCAAGATAGTATCGTTAATACACTCAAATTAAGCAGTACAACTCTCCACGTTGAATATCTCCCACCATTTTCTATACCAAAGTCAAACAACCATCAGAAGAAACTGGGGTGGATCACTGTCTTCGCGAGAGATGGTTAACACTTGTACCAATGGGTTAAGCATCATATGTCGACAATATATTTTTCTTTAGAGTTAGCTCGTCGGCCTTCGCAGGGCTAATAGACTGCATCAATCAATCAAAACAAGCAAGTGGTCAGCGCAATCATGCATTCAATTCTTAATCCCGTTTTACAACCAACATTAAAGCATCATATTTTTTCAAGAAAACAGTGATTCTCAAGTAAGACTTGAAAGTTGGAACAACGATAATTGTTTCACGAATAAGTACAACTTTCAAGGTTTGCGTTTGACTGAAAAAGAACATTACCTTGTCAAGTATGCGCTGTAGGCGCTGGATTTCGTTCTTAGCATAATCAGAACCTTTTTCCATGTAATTCTTGGCAGCTTTCAAGTAAATCTTCCCGAACCTAGTGATAAAAAACGATAATGCAATTATCGCATCTAGTTTCTTAGTTTGGGCAAATATTATAGAATATATCCAACACTCTAATGCAAATTAAGCTATTCTCAACTGACATGATTAAAAGCAAATGCCACTTAAGAAACTCCTTTTCTAGAGTATTCAAGTTACCTTGAGGCAGAACCCTTGAGATTCTCAACTTCCTCCTCCATTCGGGTAAACACGGATTTCTTCTCTTCATTGCTGGCAGCTACAAACTCCTTTACCAAGACATCCAAGCTTTCTACTATACCAGCCTATACAGAAATACCAAATGCATGAATAAGATAACAAGTAAAACAAACTTAACTTTCATACACCACCAAAACTACCAGGTCAGCTACCAGAAAATAAAATAAAATGAAATAAAACAAATTCTAGCCTCTCCTCTTTAAAGTTAATTCACTAACTTGGGAAGTAAGTTGTCCTTTTCCATCTCGACTTGTTCCAGATTTCTCATTGATAAAAGCCACAAAGTCATTTAAGTCTCTTCCACCACCGTACTCTTCTCCAGCTTTGTTGCTCTTTGGAAAAAACTTCAAGGTAGGAAATCCACTCACATCGTACCTGCATAATATTATTCCATCAAACGTCAATTATTTATCATATTGAAGTCTGCTACCTTCAGAGTCTTCGTTGGATTTTTTGTTTTCTTAACTACTATAATTACATTAGTTATGTATCATCTTATTAGCAATATTAGCACATCCATCTGTTTCAGTTCCTATATTATTTTTTCTTGCTAAATTATATTAAAGCCCATATCTGAATTGCACTGAAATTTAAACATTCATATAGTTCATCACAATGATCACATTATGACTTGAAAAGAAGACAAACTATGAATGGACACTATGCAACATGCAAATCGGTCTAAGACCTCTAAAAACAATTTTACTTCCGCCACCTCCACCTCTAAAGTTTGATTTAGTCGGAACAAACAAAACAACTATGCAAATAGATCAAGTAAATAAAACTCACTTTTCAGCCAGATCCCTATATTTATCAGCATCCAGATTTGCAATAACTACATCTTCCTCCAATTTAAATGCTGTGGCAACTTTCTCGTAAGTCTGGAGGGAAAAAGAGCATAGTCAGGCTTCACATTATTGATTTTACAAAAATTAAAGGCCCTAACCTTTAAGTTAATAACAAGGAATCCTTAATGATAAACTTACAGGAGCAAGACTTTTGCAATGTCCACACCTATCAGAATTACAAAATTTATTAGATATGGAAGTATATTGAGAGTTTTCACAATGATGTGTAATGTCAACTAAGTTTTTACCAAATTTAAGTCCAAAAAGAAGTCTGAATTAAAAATAAAAATACAAACAATACGAAAATTATAGGTGAGTACCATGGTGCATAAAACTCAACCAAGACATCTTTGGTTTCATCCAAGACAACCTCATTAAAATTTTCGGGTGTTAGCACCACTACATTGGAAGGAGCTGCAGCAATCTTCACATTTGTTCCTGCAAGCAAATCTCCTGGTTAGGAAATCCCATTAAAATTGCACGAGAAGTTCATAGTAGAAGAAAAAGGGAGAACCAAATTGTGTTGTCTAACCTCAACACTGCAAAAGCTAAAAAATCTACGGAAAGTGTGCAGACAGTCGTGTTCTTCTATGGTATGAATGAAACCTAAATTTTAGTGGCTTGGCAAAGTGTATCCAACATAAAATACTTTTTTTTTTTTTTTAATTTTCAAAAGCTGGTGCAAGATGCCTAAGTTCTGATATGTTCAAATCAAAATACTACATTTCCCTAGAAGTTACATAAACACGTTAGTATCAAACGTGATTGCCTTCATAGATATTAAAACACAATGCTTCAGAAACTCAAATAGTACCTCCTTCCGTATTTACATACTCGGCAAGTGATTCAGCAGTGCGTGGCCCTTCATACCTATGGGAATTTTCCAAAATCAAGTATTGAATGCAAAAGGAATGGTAAATGTAAAAATGACAGATAAGTAACTATGAATTGAGATATGAGTCTCAATGTTATGTTCCAATAGTCAAGATCTTACTTTTTGGGTTCAAGAGATCCTTTGGGAAACCATTGAATTGTTGGGTACCCAGAGACTCCATATTTGCTGCACAAACTCTTATGTTCATCACAGTCAACCTACAACATGTTAAAAAGCAAGCTTTGTCAATTTAATGGGTGCTGAATTATTCAATTGTCACTGAGAAAGGGCGAAAATAAACAATAAAAACACACAGGCACAAAAAATCTCAGTATATTCACAATGTCACTTCTTATGGATGCCCCCCGGCCATGCTCTTTCTCCTTCCCCTCTTCTAGTTTAAGTTTACTCTATATCCATATCTATATCTATATATGTAGACCTGGAGGGAGTGCATATCTAGTGAGAGTGCGAGAGGTGAGCTAATCTTGTTTATTTAATATTACTGTGCACAAATGGTCAAGGTTTTTGATTGTATGTAAGATTTACTCATTTTTATTGTAGAGAGAGGGAGAGAGTACAACAATGGGGGAGATGTCATTTTGTAATAAAAAGAAAAATAAGACAAAGAGTTCAACAATTAAGAAAAAATAAAAATAATTTGAGTGATTATATAGTACTCCCTCGGGACCTATATATAAGTAAAAAAAAAATATAAATTTTTTAGACTCAAATATAAGCAAATTTCAACCAAGTCTACTTTATCAAATGTTCTTTATCCAAAAATATTCGTAAGGTAATAAATGAAAGCATTACCTACAAAATAAATGAATATTTACTAATATTTTTAGTAAATGTAGTATATATTTTATATGAAATCGTGAAAATTAAATGCATTCAAGTATCTTCCATCTAAGTGAAATTAGTTTTTTTTTCTTCTTATATATAGGTCCAAAGGGAGAGTATGTTAAAGGTGTATCTTAGACTTCTTTGTTATGAAGGCAGGCATATAACATGAACATGCTCCACACTGTAAAAGAGATTACCAATAATATAAAATACACAGACAATCATAAATAGATAAAATGCCTGAAGATTAAAAAATACCACAAAACAAATTTTACTATTAAACAGAAAAAATGCAAACAGTATTCTAGGTTTTGAAAGAAACATCAGGGTGCTGACCTTGCCAATTAAAATAGATTTGGCTTTCTTGAAGCTGCTACCGAGTTTTTCATATTCTGGTGCAAGCTTTTTGCAGTGTCCACACCTATTATAACAAAAGAGGGAGGAATCGTAAATAATTGTAAAAAGGATGACAATTTAATTCTCGTAAATTAGGGTAAGCTTAACTGTCCTGCACCTTCTAGTGTCTCTGTTTTATTTATTTATTTAGCCATCATAATCGATCCTGGTAGAAAATTCATAATAACTCATCCGCCCTACTTAACTAATTGAGGTAGATCTTTAGTTTAATTAGAGGGGTATTATCCTCTAATTATTTGATTATAGGAATCAAAGACTATAGTCAACCTATATTCAATTAGAAGTTAACTAAAGAAAAATAATGGTTTTAATTTAATTTATTGATTTTAAAAAGTACCAATGAGAGGGACAAACTTAAATAGTGACACTAAATTACCGTAATAAACAAACTAAAGAACACTGCTCTAAATTGATTCTAGTCTTGAGGAGCTAAATCTAAGTTGCACCAAAAGTCTAAACGGCATCGTAATCTATCATCTACGAGTCATTAACTAAAAAATCATCAACGACCGTAAAACGACAAGTTGAACCGGTCAACGCAAAGAGCATACACGATTGAAACGAAAAGGAACAACATCGGAGTCAGTTAGCAAAAAACCCTACCCTAACGATATCAAAAAAATCAAAGTAATAATGGAAGAAGTAGTAACAGTTGATATAAAGAGAGAGAAAGGGATCGTTACCAAGGAGCATAGAACTCAACGAGAGCTCCTCTGTCCTGACCAACTTCCTTCTCGAAGTTATCTTCAGAGAGCACAACGACGTCGTCTGCTGAAGCCGATAGGAACAGCAGACCAAACGCGAACGCTCCCAACGCTATGCTCCAGATCTGATGTTTCTCCATTTTCTTCCTTCTTCTTTCTTCTGAATTTCAGCAGAAATTGCTACGGCACGTGCGAGGATTTATAGGGAACCTGTTATGAATGTCGCGTAACGTTTCGCTCCTCCGTTAGGGTCACGTGGCGCCGTTTTATTGCATCTCTTGTCATTAAAGTCATCGTTTGCCTATGCATTTCTCGCGGTGCAACCGTATAACACCTATGACGTATCGTTGTTGACGTGGCATTCGATGAGAGGAACACAGTGTCAATTTCTGGAGTATCTGACCCACGTGTAAAGTATGACCACGTCGTACTTGTACATATGTATACTCGAATACACATCCCGATGTAATGTATGTATGTATATTTCATTTTATGAGTTCAATTTTAATATTTTTTTACTAATATAAATCTTTTTACGCTGTTAATTAATAGAAATAAACTGTTAATATAATTTCATGTAGTTATTGTAAAATTTAATAATTCTTTTAATATATTCTTTATTATATTATAATTTAATTATAAATTATTATGTATAATAAATTCTTATTTTTTATAACAATTATTTTTATATTTTATATTAACAATAATTTATTTTTGATTATTAGTCATATAATTTGCTTTAAACTCATCATAATGACATTTGAATTCCTCGTACAATAGTTGACTTTATTATGAATTAGATATATATGACTAGTCTTGCTCTTATATGAAACAATGAAAAATTCTTTAATTTTACTCCTAGAAAAAATCTCAACAAAATGACCCTCTCTCATTATACTTATTCTTTTTGTGTATGAAAAAATCAGCTATATCCTCCTTAAGGGTCTTAAGGTTAGTCATTTATTCTTTATAAATGAATGTTTTTTTCACTAAAAATTTGCAACTCTCAAGTGATATTTGTGAAGGATATGTGCTATAGCAATGTGACATCGGTTCTCGAGACAAGTGTTGCGAAGTCTCGACTTTATGCTTCAAACAATGTCTCTAACATCAAGAAGGATCAAGTTGTAACATTGTGTTGTATGTTTTATATGTGATTTATGTTATTTTATGATGATATATGTTGTTTTGTGATGCTTTAAGTTGTGATGGTGTGTTTTATGTTGTTTGTGAGATCTCTAAGGGTTAAGGAATCCTTATGAGTTACATTATTTAGAGTTGTTTGAGATGAGGTCAACATTGACAAAAAATGAGAGAAGATATATAAGATTTTAAGAAAAAAAATGAACTTCACAAATTTATTTCCTTTAGTTTTAGAGAAAGCTTTCAAAGAGGAGTATTATAGAGCTAGAGAAGTTCAATCTTTGTTCTAATTTCACCAAAAGCATCCTTATCCTTCCTTGTGGTTGAGATCGAGTGGTAGAAACAGAGATTTTAGTTAAGAAGCTTAGAGTCTTAGAGAAAAATTGATCATTAAAGGTCTCGTTGTTCTTCTCTTGTTGTTTTAGAAATAATTAAGGTAAGAGAATTTTGCAGATTGATTCTTTTTTAGTTGTATATGTTGATTCTTGTGTTGTTTTGTCCATTGGTGTCATTTGTGTTAAATTTGGTGTTGGTGAATGTGGGGTTTTGGAACCAAACTTGAGAGTTTGATGATACTTGTGTTGTTATGGTTAAATGTATCTTTTTGTGTTTTTATTTTATTTTATAGTTGTTGGTGATCTTTGGAGTAGGAATCATGTGTTATGTTCTTACAAAAATCTGCAAGTGCTCTAATGCTAAGGACAACGTTTAGTTGCTCTAATATCTGTGACAAGAATGTGCATTCATAAAGACATTATAAAGCTCAAGTTAGAGAGAAGTTTAGGTTAAAAATGAGATTGGGGAAGAATGATATCTGGTATCTCATATATAGGTGATTGGTCTTATCTCCAGGTTTTAAGATAATGTTGTATGATATCCTTGGAATATGTTATGGTGATTGTGTGGAGATATTGTTATTGATTAGCGGAGATATTATTCCTAATAAGTGAAAATATATTTTTTAGATTAGTACATTGTACTTGATTACAATATTCTAAAAGATATTCATGCCATGATATCCTGCTAGTTGTTAGGAGCTAACCGTCTAGAGTTTCATTGTATGATGATGGGTTGGAGGCCCAATGCGCGTGAGCAAAAGAATGCCAACTTGGCCTAATTGAGTTGGACAGTACAAGTTGCATGTTGAAGAAGAAAGTTGAGATAGCTAAAAGAAAAAAAGATAAGTGTGAGTATCATGGAGGTGTTACACGCTCTCGCCTAGCAGGATGGTGAACTTGTTAGGCAAGCTTTTAAAAGTGAAGGCTTTCTTTCCATATTGTATTCTCGCTCAACAAATGTATAAGTCACCTAGCAAGAATGGTTATTCATGATGAACACTTAAAATGTGTCAAGCAACACATGTGTGACTAGTGCAAAGTTGATGCGAAAGAAGCTTAACTTGGGAGGTAAAGAGAATTTTCTATTGCAAGACATTCACAAACCATTGTAAAGAAAAAAAATATGGGACGAAAAAGAAAATAGCCTTTATGTAAACATTATTTATTAATCTTATCACTAAAAATTGGATGGTATTATAGCTTTACAATGAATAATTCTTATTGTAAATAATATTGAATATTTGTAGATGGTTTCCATTGCAGTAAAATAGAGTTTGAAAATTCAATATCCATTTACTATGTTGATAAACTAGCTAAATGAAGTTTGACATAAGTTACAGCTAGACTCTGTTAGAAAACATGACTTAACCAAAATGGGGTGAATTGGTTATTTAAAAATTTCTTATTGAACTTTTTTGGTTTTGAAAAACTTTGCTAAAATTTTCCAAAGAAGTATATTGATTTATAGTCATATATAGGATATCAAGTTGAGATTCTATGCAAATTTAAACTCACTCAGTTCTATGTGCAATGTTCATGATTCATACCACACAACATTAAGCATAAAATCAAAATTGCAAGAATGTAAACACAAGGGATAGAGAAAAATGCACAACCAATTTATAATGGTTTAACCACATCCACTTGTGACCTATATCCAGTCTCCAACCAACCTAATTGAGATTTTTCACTAATACTTGATACTAAAAATTTTACAATCACAATATCACATTCAATACACTTCTTTACTTAAAGAAACCATTTTTTGCACCCTAAGAAGCATTTACTTGTAGCACTCCACCACAAAATTTTTCTTTTCTTAAGAAACCTACTTAAGTAAATAAATTACAAAAGTTAAGAAACGAATTCACCTAATGTACAAAACAAATCAAAGTAGGTGAATTAACCCAAGTAGCTTATCCTACAAAGGTTACTAAATGTCTTCTTGCAAAGAAAAACATTTTTCAGAGTGTTTTCAAAAAATATATCACAAAGATTCAAGTCTCTCTATTCTAAGTGTGAAAAATGATATATATAAGTTTTTTGACAGAAATAGTCAATTATTTTTCATGAATAATCGATTATTTTGTTCTTAGCAGATTTGAAAATCAACCAAGAGTAGTTTAATCGATTATTTTGAGCAATAATCAATTATTTTAGAAACTAATTTCTAAAATTTTGATTATTTTGCTAAATTATCAATTAGTATAGTAACTATTTCCCAGGTTACTGAAAAATAAAGTAAATAATTGATTATTATTTAAGATAATCAATTTTTTAAGTGAAAATTTAATATCTCAATTTTTCGTACCATTTCTTTTTATAAAACAATTTTAAAATTTATTTTCATCATCAATCATCATCTAGACAGAGATATAAGACGAAGATACTTACCAAGTATAAAACACACAAGCAACAAAGCTTTAAGCATACAAACAAGATATAATTTGTACTCTTTTCTTCCAAGAGACTCAAAACACAAAATAAAATACAAGTTGCACTTTTTTTCTTTATAATCATTAAAACTAACAAAGACTATGTCTTCATCGTGAGTTTGATCAATAAACTTGAGAGGGACAAGACATTTTAAAAGTTTAATGATATATGGACGAAAAAATTAGTTTAGATGGAGATTTAAAATGATTATAAAGCCTACCTAAATAAATTACACTTTTAGGGAAAATTATCTGCTTAAATAAGATATAAAAGTCTTTATCTTTGAATAAGTGATTGAGAATTTAACTTTACAATCCTATTTTTCACAATAAAAATAATTAAGCTTCAACAGTCGACTTAAATGTATTTGTAGTTTACCTATGATTTGTCTAAGCATGAAACCAAGAAAAACTCTTAATTATACTATAATCTAAAAGGAAGGATATATATGTATAAACAATTGCAAACACATGGATAGTGAAGAGAAAATAACAAATGCTAATACAACAAGTTCATTCTAGATACAACCACTTTTTAATTAAGTGAAGTAATTTTTTTTTTACTTTTTTAACTATAATATTAATACAAAGTATTCATTGTCATAAGAAGTGAATAATCTCTATTGAGGATTATGAATGTATACAAGGTGGGTATTTCCCTACCAACATAATCTATTTCATACTCAAGATTGAAATTTGCATTAATATTTTATCCTTATCAAATCCACCCTTCATATCAAAATTTAGACAATATAAAGTTGTAATTCACCAATTTAATTAACAAAATTCAACTTTTTTATATAAAATTATTAAATAGTATAATAATCGTAAAAATTTCACCAATATAACTTGATCCTTCCTTTCACTTTCTCTCATATTATATATATATATATATATATATATGTAAATTTATTAAAATAGACATTAAACATAAAATATAACATATGGAGATGAATTGTTTTTTATGAAAGTAATTTGGACAATTTTCCTTTAAAATATATAATATAAAAATATATTCTATTATAATTTATATCTCAAAACTATTATTTCATTTGTAAATATTACAAAATCAGACATTATCTAACATACACATTGTTGCTCATTAAAAAATAATAGGACTAAAAAAAAAAATACACATTGACGAGATCTCTAATTTAATATCAAATTATTTTTAATGGTAATTTTAATTTATTCTCGACACAAAATTATATTGTTAAAACACCATTTATAATACTAATCAATAAATTATTATGATACCAAAAAAAAATAAAAAATTATGTA